CTTGGAGAGAACAGACAATGTAGAGGCAGAAAGGCCTAAAGGTTAGCATCATGTACTCGGGGATGATTACATATCATATTGACAAAGTTAACAGGCTTGTATAAAAAAAGAATTCAGGGAACAAAAGGTGAACCTCAGCAAGCTTACACATACTCACAGAAGCCAACAGTCAAATCTTCAGGAATTCTACAAGCTAAACATAGGAATTATTATAAAAATTCTATTATCGGGGCCAGCAGACGGCATAGCGGTTGTCACTAGGACTCGTACATGGCCCACTGTGGTTGGAGTCCTGGACCTGGTGGCTTGAAAATCACACTGGGCATGTAAGCACAAATGCCCCAGGTCCCAGTAGAATGAAGAATGGACTGTGGCATGGTCATCTCCCTTGGGGGGGGGGATGCTTACTTCTCTCTTTCTCTCCCCAATGAGCACACACACACTGAGGCAAAAACCTCTTTAAAAATTTTTTAAATTTTGGAGCCGGCAGGTGGTATGGTGGTTAAAGATGCTGGACTCTCACGTGGCCAACTGCGGTTTGAGTCCCAGACCTGGAGGCTCGCTTTCCTTGTCTCTCACTCTGTCTCTCTGGTCAAATTGAAAATAAATAAAAATTAAATAATAATAAAAAGGCTTATTAAATTTTTTAAAAAGTTAAATTCTATAGGCCAGTTGCAATGGTACCAGCTGGTAACATAACACTTTTGTAATGCTGAGGCCACAAGGGAAGGTCTTCGATTGGCGTTTGGAGGTATCCCTGTACATCTGAGGTAAGCACACATATGCCTATGATTATGGTTGGCTGGGGCTAGGGGGGATCATGGCATCGAGGCCTGTTGTGGATGCTTGTCTCTCTCTCATGGAATAAATAAACTTTAGAAAATCATTTTATAATGGCCTGCTACTGAGCCTCTCTTCCCAACACCAGGTTGGAACATCCCACTAGTAACTTGAAATTGCCCATGGTGAGAGCATACATCACGGAAATAGGTGAACATACAAATCTGAGTTGTTCTTCCCAAGAGTCAGCTATTAAAATTTTTTAAAAGAATTATTTAACTATGTATTCATTTATGTACTTTAAATTTGACCAGAGACAGAGAGAGAGAGAAAGCAAGCCACCAGGTCTAGGACTTGAACCATGGTCGGCCATGTGAGTGTCCAGCACCTTAATCATCATGCCATCCGCTGGTCCTTGGTATTAAATATCTAACATACTATTGGCTTTGGAACTATGAAGATAAATAGGAAAAACTTAAAGACCAGCAGGGTGTGGTGCTCAAAGTGCTGGACTCCCACATAGCTGACCGTGGTTTGACCCCCGAACCTGGAGGCTTACTTTCTCTCTT